ATCTGAATAAGATTCAACCGCTACGATGGGTGTGCCCGTAGACGCGACCTTGGTGCTCTCCCTCGCGGGGGAATGAGGAGAGAGGATTTCCCGAGGTCGGCTGGATGGTAGCGCAGCCGCTAATCCATGAATGGCCTAGCTCTGGATACCCTTGTTAATCCCAGCGCATCCCCGCCATAGCTCCATTCACCCTCAGAATCTGATCCCTCCAGCCTCATAATTGTCCATTGTCGAGATAGGCCGCCCACTCAACTTTCATTATGTCGTCAGCGCCACCTAGAACCATAATTGATCTTCCGAGCGAACTCATCGAGATGATCGGAATGAATCTCATTGAGTATGCTCCATACAACGATTCCGTCGCACCAGTCATACCGCGATTACTGGTGGGGAGTTGCCAGGCAGTGTACAACACCCGTCTAGCATGTCGGAGTCTCAATAACGCTTTAAAAAAAGCGTTCCTAGAGGTCCTACATGATGTACCCTTCCAATGCACTGAGGAGCATCTGGGCCATTTGACGCGGTTGTTGCAGCTTCCCTGGGTGTCGCAGTCGTTCAAACAGCTCACTATCGGCGGTGCCAAGATAGCCAAAACACCCATACAACGATCCCGAGCGGTCTGGATACAGGACCATTTGGCGGACGCTTTCAAGACAATTCTCAGCATTGCGCCTCGTTTGGAAAGCATTAGATGTGTCCCAATCTTTGAGTCTTTCAAGCCAAACGACCCCCGTGATATCTATGACGAAGCCACCGCCGACGAGACTATTCAAGAACGGAGGCAGGGTCCCTTTCGCTCTATAGACATCTTTGGAGTATGTTAAAGCACCCATCGTTTCCATAGATAGTCCTAAAATAGAGGCTAACGCATGAACATAGAAACTTTACACATCGATACACGAAAGCGGACACGCGGATTCTCTTCGGTCGCTTTTGTTAGGATCCGACTCCAGGGGAACGCGTAGACTTGGAGCGCCCAGTGAGACATTGTACCGCGGTCAAATAAGACTCTCCCCGTTCCTTGCAATGCCATTACCTCATCTCCAACATCTCGTCCTCGACTTGGGGTGTCTACGATACGGCACCGGCATTTCCAGTTCGACCCATATGCCAGTCCTCGAGTCTTTGACGATCGTATACACAACGTTCCACAATAACAGCGAACGGAATGTCGGGCCGTGGCCGGAGGGAAACTTGGACCTTTTGGCAAAGACTCAACCTCGACGGCTCGTACTCACCAGCTATAGGTACTTCATTTCGTGGGTACACGAGCCTCGAGAGAAAATTCTTGCTATTGTCCGCGCATTCAGCCACAGGCAAGGGCCACTACCGTGCTTGGAATTGCGAGACATGGATGTCGAATTGGATTACCATCGGGACGAACGACCGATGCCAGCAGATACTTGGAAGTTCTCGGAGGACTTTCGCATCGCAGAGTTCAAGATTGCAAACGTGACGTGGTACCGACATGTAATCCATCGTGACAGTTCAGAGCGCCGTGGCTGGTGCAAGACGGGTTGGGAACTGTTTCCTCAAATTTGTGACGCGTCAGATGTCGTACGTGTACGCGTGTGTGACGAGTCGGAGCTCATTGAAGAAAGCTTTCTCGAAAGACCATATGAAGATTTGCATATTGATGGCAATAGCACGGATCATGATACCGAGACAGATCGCAGCACCACCGAAGACGGATTCGATGATTCAGACCGGTCCACAGACGAAGACGAAGATGACGACGAAGACGAAGAGGAAGATGAAGACGAAGATGACGACGATGACAATGACGCAATGGACGAGGCATAGGCCATGATGGTTATACATAGCCACTGTTTTCGATTTGATACAAGGGGTCCATGTGCATAGTGTTGGCGCAGCTTTACGTTTGGTGACAGCTTCAACCTCCGCCAGGCTTCTTCAGCGCTCCACCAAGAATACTCGGGTCAAGCATCTTGGCTTCAGGGACGTCGACACCACAACGCACCCACATGCTGCTCCAAAGCGCACCGACTGCTCTTTCTTCGGGCATGAAAACGACCGTGTTTACGTACGACCGTGTCGTGTTATAGCAATCTGGCATGTTGAACAGCTGCGCCTCGCAGTTGTCGCCTTTGTTTGAATAGAACACGCCGCATCGCGCTTCGCTTGGAAGAGTGATACATGTGCCGTTCTTCCACGTTTCGAGGGGCGGTGGAAAATACGTCTTCTGCAAGAGCTCGCCGCGGCAGTGTTTAGGGCCGCCCGCGCCGGAGTATGTGAGGGCGAGGATCGGTATCTGTGGAGTGGTCGGCGGTCGAGGCTTAGGCGCGACGGACGGTTTTGGCGTAGCAATAGGCCCCAAGACACCTTCAGCACTCCAGCTCGCGCTCGTTTGTGGTTCGGGTGTGAAGCCAATCATTCCGTCCTGGGTTTCGGTCATCGTGGTGGGTACGAGCGTTGCGCCGGACACGATGCTGCTGCCGTTGTACACATCGCCGCGGTCGAAGTCCGTGCCGTTCAACAGCGCCTTCGCTGCGACGATATCATCGCCATCTCCGACTCTTGCAGCCTGCGCGAGGTTGATTTGTATGACTGGTGTGGTTGGTGCGCGTACTTCGATGGCGGTCGCTAGCGAGATTGCGATGAAGAGGAGGAGGGAGACGGACGATGCGATGAGGATGATGCGCCGCGGTATGGACGACATCGCGGTGGTATTACATTACTTTTGGAGATTTGGGAGGTTGAAGGGGTATGCGACAACGTCGAAGTTCGTGGGCGACGCCAAGGAACCTTGGAAGCGTCGGGGGTTGCTACACTACGCGTTTCATCCCCACGTCTTCTCCAGACATCGTCGCAGGCATGCAGGCAACTTTACATACTTCCTTGACAGTTGTACAAGATTCTTTACTACATTTGGATGTATGATTTTGCGCGAGTGTGCAATCTCGATAGAGCAGCGGCTTAGACCGACATCTGGAGTTCAGTCACAATCCATCCCCTGACCCTTATACAGCTCGGTACCAGCTTTTATGGGCTATCGTTGCCATGTAGCGAAAGCTGCACTTACAATTTGGCCTTGGCGCTCCAATGAAAACGGCAACGGCCGTATTCTACTCTACAACAGAGCAAGAGATTCACTGGAGTGACGGCCATTGGTCTAAGCTCATGACGATTCTTCTGGTTTTGACATGTATACACAGACGACTGAGTACTAATCTCCTGATCACTCGCTGCTGCCTATGCACTGGTCTGTTCGCTGAGCGATTTATGTCTCGGTTATCTCCTGTCGACCATACTTAGCCACCCTCAACCCAGTGATTTGTCCACCCTTAGACCATCACTCTCGATATCCACGATCAACCTACGCAAAACTCAACTACCTCTCGATGGAAGTAGGTATCGATAACATCCCACCCTCGACTCCCAACATGGCTGTCGAACTATTGGACGCAAACCGACGAGCGCTAGCGTTAGCCCTTAAGAAAACTGACGCCAACCATTCGAACACATCTGCCGCTCGACTTGAGATGATGAAGGCCGAGTCTAGATTTCATTCGCTGAAGCGCCGCCAAAGGGCCCTGCGTCGTGAAGAGGCTACTGCTGCTCGAGAATACGGCCAATCTTGGTGCCAAAGCGTCTCTCAAAGCCTTCTTGATAAGCTCCCTCGCGAGTTACGAGATATGATCTACGATCACCTTCTCCCTCATTCAGCAGAAGTATCACTCCTGGGACAGGATTGGCGCGTTTCCTTCTGCTCTAGTCAGACGTTCGGCTCGTGGAACGACAGCGAACTCGATCCCATCTCTCATTATCTAACGAGTGAGTTTATGGGCACTTCGTTCCAGAAAGAGATCATGGAGGAACTTCACAGACACGCACAATTCCGTATCTACCACTCAAACGATGTGGAAGAGTTTCTGGAACATGGCCTGCCGCTAGCATCACTTCCGGTCCGGGCTTTCGACTTCGTTCGCTCACTCACTGTTCTGCTATGCTTCCAAGCCCATCAGGATGTCAACAAACTCACTTGGCGCAGAACGGGACAGTTTGAGCTTAGACAACACCTTGAAGGAAATCCTCAACACTTGGAATCTGTCGCTACCGAGCGTGACTTCAACGAAAAGGTCAAAGCGCTTGCTGTCATCGCCAAGATCAAGCAACTGAACAAGCTCGAACTGCATATTTTGATTCGCACCTGGACCTCTACAGGAGCGAGAGGCTTTGAGCGAGCTCTGGTTCCTTTTGTGCACGATCTGCAAGACCGCGGAGTGAAGGTTGACGGGGAAGTTCAGTCATATCGACGTGATTCCCGTCGTAACACTGAGATGTACACTGGTTGGAAATGTGACTTTACCCGTCCGGGGTCGCGCTAGAAAAGCCACCGACTCATGACTAGTGCCTTCGTAAGTAACTAGCCTCCAGATGTCTTGCATATGCTTACCATCAGACAGGACCGGTTTTTGTATACGTTGAATCTGTCGATGAAGTCGAAGCTCGATGATCTCGTGATGTCTCGTGTTCTCTAGAGTTTTTATTCCTATCGCTCCGGCTTCTCGGCACAACAACGTAGTCTCCACGCAAAAATGTATCGTGAGACGGCTTAAGGAGTGTCGTCATGCTATGCCACCGTATGGGGTAAACGCGCTCGTGGATATATGCTCTCGTACAAGAGATGTTCTCACACACATGACTGGCTATATAGGGCACCTTTGACCTATCGAACGAAAAGTTTCTTCACCGCTATCGCATTTGCTGTGACGCATGATTCCGTCACGCATTACATTGTATTGTTCGACGGCCATTTGCGAAACTGTTGAGAACCCGAAACGTCAAGTTCAAAGATAGATTGATCTCACACAAGTCTGGAAAGATGTGAAAGCTGTGCGCGAGCCCACCACCATGTGGTATACGATGATGCTACATTGCTCTAGTCTCGACGACTCTTCTAGGTCGTATCACACTGCAAGCCCAAACTTATGCGCATGTAGCGTCTACCTCTTGCCATCTTGATCTAATGTGGCTGCTCAGCCAATAGGACGTTTCCAATGTAAATCCCGCCAATGACCCATGAAGACAGCGGCGATGGCAGCTTCCATCTGGCTTTCCGATATCAACATGGTACGATCGTAGGTGATTGTTTCCCGATTGCGCGGCTGCGAGTAGTCGTTCCTGCCCCAATTCTCGTACGACGCAACGACCTTGCAGTCCTTTTCGACAAGCTCTTGGATGTATGGTAGCAGCACAGCTTTGTACCTCTCGAGTGCAGCACGCGTCCGCACATTAATATCAAGCGTGATGCTCATTTTGGCGACTTGTGATGTGGCCGCGAGATCGCCAAGCCAAGTCAGCTGGTTCTGGAAGCCTTCTTTCTTTAACGCAGACTCTGTTGTCGCGTGGCGAGCTTTCACATAATAGTCCCGTGTCGGCTGGAATTCATGTTTTGAGATGCATATGTCGACCGAAAGCGTTCGGAGGAAGTCGAGGGGTCGGCAGGGCGCACCTCTGAGAGGGCAAGCATCAAGTAGATATCGAACGTCATCGACGTTCCAGACATTGTAGGAAGCATGCCTATTGAACTCCTCCGCGAGTTCGACCACAAACTCCTTTCCCATATACTTTTCCCTGAAGAAGTGCTCGAATTTGTTGTCAAGGCCGCGAGCCTGGCCGCGACGGTCACTGTGATCAACGTGGAAGTAGTACTTGTTCTCTTCGTTATCGGGCAGCTCTTTCTCGCGTTGCATGATGCTGACATCTGGAGCGCCACCCATGAGATGGAAGTAAACCATGTCTCGCACTTCGCGGGCAGAGAGACGTTCGAACATCTCAGCGGCGAACTGGCGGTTCAACGTGCAGGTGTAGTCATCAGTTGACTTGCCGAAGTTGCTTGAAGGCAATGTGACGTCAGTGATCAATCTGTGTTGTGCTGGAGTGTCACACTTACGTATTCAAGCTTCGCTTCTGGCGCTGAAGTTTGCTTCGCGTGCTTTGAAGTGCACTCAGCTTAGTCTCAAGCTCTTCGATCTCTTTGTCATTCGCACTATTCCTGCAATAGCTTCGTGAGCATCTCAATGTTGTGAACGAATAAGCCACTTACAGCTCTTGATTATCCCTTCGTCTCTGTATAATGCTGCGCAGTCATTAGTGACTGGAAATCTGCTTTTGCGCACGTCTACGCCGACTTACAATGAGATTGCCTTAGCCTTGGTCTTGAGTGGATTTCGAGGAGCCATTCTGACGGTCTCGCGTTGTTTAGAGAATGGCAGCAGCGATTGAAGTAAAGGAAATAGTTCAAGCGCTTTGGGTTGACCTATATAAGAATATCACGATGTGCTTAGTGGGTAACGTGACGGAGTCGGCAATTAAGTAGGCGCACGCGTACCGCAATCTAGGCAAACACTTGGCTTGACGTACGTGCTCGCGTCGTGAATGATCAGTTCGGGGTAGTCACAATTCCTATCCCGAAAGTTACTAGGCTGGAGAAGGAAATGCTAACCCATCAATCTTCGGATAGCGTCGAGAAAAGTACAGCTCCAGATCTCTTCAAGCCTCCCCACCCTCAGCCTTCTCCTTCGCCTTATCCAAATCCAACGGCACCCTAACAACAATCTTACCCCTCGCCCTCCCCGTCTTCAACTTCTCAAACGCCTTCGGCGCATCCTCCCACTCAAACACCTCATCAACCACAGCCTTGACCTTCCCCTCCTTCATCCACCCACCAATCTGGCTCAGCGCATCCGACGACGGCTTCGCCATCAACAACTGATAGTTGTTCTTGCCGCCACCCAGAAACCCAGGTAACAGCATATTGGATCCCACATTCTTGATACTGGCAACATTCATCGTTGCACCGATCTGCACGAACTTGCCGGCTGGAGTTAGGAAAGCGGATGCGGCTTTGTAGAGGTTGGGTGGCGTGCCGATGTTGTCGACGACGAGGGTGTAGGTCTGGCCTTTGGAGGAGATTGTTTCGATGACATCGCTGGTTTTGTAGTCGATGACTTCGTCGGCGCCTAGGCTCTTGCAGAGGTCGACGTTGGGGGTTGAGCAGGTGGTCGTCACGTGGCAACCCAGCGCTTTCGCAATCTGGATGCCGTACACACCCGTTCCGCCTGAGCCGCCGTTGATGAAGACTTTGTCGCCGCTTTTGACGTTTGGCGCGATGGCTTGGTATCTGGAGATGGGGTTAGTATGGCTTTCGCTGTGTTCTCAGGCTGCGCGGCCTTACTCGGTCAGCCCCACGATGCCAACGCCTGCTGCGTCTTCGACCTTCACGCCTTCTGGTAACCTTGCCAGCATTTGTTTATCCACAGCTACGTATTGCGCCATGCTTCCTCCTGTCAGCGCACCGACCTTTGCGCCAAAGACAAATTCGCCAATCTGGTACTCGTCGACTTTCTTGCCTACTTTGGCGACCTTGCCGCAAAAGTCGGCACCGGGGGTGATGTCGGAGCCTACAAGCCGCAGAGGCATTGGGCCTTCAGTGACTTTGTGGTCGACGGGGTTGATCGCCATGGCGTGAACTTGGACCAGAATCTGCTCATCATGAAGCACTGGTTGTGGCGCGGCCTCATTGATCTGGAGGTTCTTCTCGATGCCGCCTTTGGTGCTGTTGTACTGCCAGGCCCTCATCGTGGACGCCATGTTGCTGTTTGATCTGAACGGAGCTTGTCGCGATAAATTTCCGATGGATTTGATGCCGCCGATGCGCGCTGTGCTTGTTATCTTATAGGGTGGAAACAGGCATGCGTCATGACGATTTGCGTTGAGCGGGGCAAGCGCCACCACCGCCTGTCAGCACGAGCTTTGTGAGTAGACACCCATCTATCGGAGCTCCATTCAGGCGACCGGAGAGATCGCGCAGATTGAGCCTGGGTAGGACACCTACATTGTGGAATCCATTGAGGTGGGTATGCCTCCTTGCCCAATGCGTTGGCTTACTTGCGCTCGGTCGATCAAGGGGCATGCCCACATTATCACCTAGCCCGATCGGGCGCATTCTGCGCAGCGACAGCAGTCTCATCATGAGTTCTGGAAAGAGATCAATATCAAGATATGGGATATGAGCGAGATCATTGTTTGTGTCACGATGGGTTTTCAATTGATCTGGCCTGCACATCGATGTGGAACTGGAGGCCTAACAGCCACAGCTCAGGCCGCCCTTTCGCCCTGCATGAAGCCTCTTACGCGTATGTGACAAACATCTGCTCAAAGCTAGTTACGTTCCAGACCCCAGTAACGGTGTTGAGCGTCAGGTTAGTTGGGGTTGTGGGACCACGTTGAAGCGCCCCACTCTCGACATGACCGCCTGCAGCGACTACAGTTCCGTTCGTCCTCTCTAGATGGTTGGCACCAGCCTTGACGGTGAAGTTCGCGAGGCTGATATCGAAGGGGTTGCGAGATGCGACGGATGGAGAGCCTAGACACCGTCAGCATGTGAAGCATGGTAAAGGTCATCATGTATCAACTTACCGTAGTACTGCGCATTGAGCTCCTCAGGAGAGATGAACAGCTCGTAGTACCCTCTGTAGTAGCCTTCTGTCCACTGAAGCTCCCTGTTATCGCGCACAAGAGCTGCGGAGCGGTCACTCGAATTCGCAATAGACCTACCAGCGCCATAACCGCTGGAAGAGACGGCCGTGCCAGCAAACTCGACACCAATCGCGCCGGCACCAGTGGCCTGGTCGTATGGAGTCTCATCGAGCCAAACGAGATCAGACACCCAGTTGGCATGAGAGTCGCCAGCCAAGAAGGCAGTGTTCGGGATCTCGTTGCTGTAAAGGTGATGAAGAGTGCGGTTGCGGTTGGCGGTGTATCCGTCCCACTGATCGGCATTCAGCTCGTTGCTGTACACTGCGCTGTTGTTCATCCGGGAGAAGATGATCTGGTTGCCAATGATCCTCCAGGTAGCACCGCGTTCATGCGACTCGGAAAGCTGGTTGTAGAACCAGTGTTCTTGGCGGCTACCCATGAGCGAGCGGCCAGCGTCGTCCTTGAGATCCTCGATGTAGTCGTCGTTCCAATTCAGAGTCGTGATGGATCGATCGTAGTTGCGAGTGTCGAGCATGATTAAATCGAAGAGTTTGCCCATCTTGAAGTTGCGCCAGATGCGGAGGTTGTCATCCATGTCGACCTGGCGAATGCTGCGGTCGTTATTAGCGACATCAGGAACGGTCAAAGCGAAACACGTACGGCATCCACTCGAAGTAGGCGCGAACAGCGTTCATCTTCCTAGAGTCAACGCTCACTCCTCCGAACTTCTTGAAGCTTTGTTCAGTGTTGTTCATGCCGCTAAAGCCATCGCGATAACCGTTGTTTGCAACCTCTGCCCATCCGTTAGTTGAGTAGAGGGGTGCGATGCCAAGCAACATACCATGATCGTCCCATGTTGGAATCCAAGCAAAGTTCTGGTGAGCAAGGCGAAGGTCGTCATCAGTGCGATACTGTCCAATCCTCGTTCGGTAGTCTTTGAGATGAATTAGTAGCTGTCAGATCCAATGTTCAGTTGCTTACGAACCGTAAAGTGTGACGATCTCCCGGGACGGGTTCGTGGCGCGCGGGTCTTGGCCGAGCTTGCCCTTGGTGGACTCATAGATGTAATCACCAAGATGGACCTTCATCTCCAGATTAGCAGAGTCACAAATGCGCGTAATCATCATGCTTACAAAGAAGTCAACTTGATCTTTCCTGGCAGCATTGCCGTACGCGTTGAAGTAACCGTTCTGCCAGTTGGAACAGGAGAAGATAGCAAGACCAACTTTGGAAACATCGTCGTCTTCGTTGGGGCTGGTCTTGGTCCTGCCGAGTGGGCTCTTGTTGGAGCTACCACAAACGTTGAACTGGTAGTAGTACTGTGTGAATGGGGACAGGTTCTTTGCTTCGATCTTCTCAGAGTTAGCTTATCACTCGACATACCCGTGGCTTAGATCTTACCTTGACGGTGAAGTCGATGTCGGAAGTGGTGTATGCTTGGCCTTGATCGACGATGCTGGAGAAGTTGCCGTCGGTACCAACGCGGTAGTCCACGCAAATGGGGTTTGGTGAGGCCTTGATGTACTTCTCCGTCTCGTGGTTGTAGAAGGCTACATTACCCGTAACGGTCACGTTCGATCTGTCGTTCTCGAGAGATGGCGCAATGCGTGTCCAGAGAATGACAGAGTCGGGATAAGGATCTCCAGAGGCGACGCCGTGCGTGAAGCTTAGCTGAGCCGGATCCCACGGAGTCGCCCGCTTGATGAGGCTTCTCTTCGCGACCTTCGGCACATCGATGCCAAGGCCTTCGTGCCGGCGAGAAGGCGAGTGGTAGTTCAGGTTGCCATCGAAAGATGCACACACGAGCGAGGCTAGAGGCGCCGCTGCAAGAAGAATCGAAAGCATTGCGAGGATCGAAGAAGCTTCGGTGACTCTCTTCTTAGTTTTCAAAGTCCCGAGACTTCAGAAAGCTTAAGTACTTCCATCGCACTTCAACGTGCCGTGCTTCGCGTGCAATTTCATCGCCTTCGTAGTACTCCGGCCGCCAACATTACCGCATCGTGCATTCAGTACAGTTCTGACAGCAGCTGTGGCCAATCGCATAGAGTGCATTGTAAGTGTGTAAAAGAGTGCCTGTTGATCGTCAACCGCGACATATGCACGATGCGCATGTGCCGGGAGGATGAGCTGAGATTGGCCGAGCGCGACTTCATCCCGCTGGACAGGCTAGCCCGTTGTGGGGATATGCAGCACGTCGAACGTCGTTGATCCTGGCATGACATACAGTGCGTGAGGAGTCAACGCGACGATGCGGAACTGTAAGGTGCAGTCTTTGGGGTGACAGGAGAAGAGGGGTGGAGGGTTACTTGGCTTTCCAGCTCCCCGGGGCCCAGTCCGCGGAAAGAGATGGCGCTAAGATTAGAAGGGTTTAGCGCCAACCGTGCCGCATGCTAGCCCTGGAGAACTCCATCGTCCATTCCTTCGACACCCACCCCGTCTAGCTTTCCGGAGAACTCCTGGAACTCTCTCTCCTTCCTGACCTACACTTGCTGTACGTACGAGTTGCAGTGCAGATTTTGCCTTTCTTTCGATGCCCAATTTTCCGCTTCTAAAGCGCTTGCTTGCTTCTCTATCTTGATTCAACCAATCATTGCATCGTTCACACCCCGCTGTACACGTTCCCGTGTTATCCACGTTGCATCGTCGGAACTGCCATTCGCGCAAGAGCTATCACGGCATCGCTGATGTCGTTGTACCTATA